GAATTATTTAATAAAAACTCATAATTGCATCGAACATAATTGCATTACATTAATCATTTTGTAAATTCTGCTCAATTCATTTCATTCGTTTACAATTTAAATGTTCCCTTAAATATTTTACATAAAGCTGAGCTTCCGAATTTAATAACTCTTTGCAAATATATAAAAAATATAATGAATAGTTGCTATATTACAAGAATTATTCTAATTATATATAGGGGGTGTGCAAAACTTGACTCTGTCAATTCCGAGTTTTCTTTTATTCTTGTTCAATATTCGGTGAAAACATGGATAAAATGATATTTGGATTGACAGAGTCGAGTTTTGCATCCCAATCATCGTAATAAAAACTCCCTATAAAATTTCCGCTTAATAATTAACACATTTCACTTTAAAGTAATAAATGAATTCATATGTGTCACTGAACTAGCATCACGCTCTTTCGTATGATCTAGGATGTTTGATTTCCAATGGCGACCAATCTTCTTTCGAGGAATGATGCCTGGTATCTTCAAAGATGGCATTTGGGTGGCTTGATTATCGACGATGGCAAGACATCTTCAGTCCTAAATACGGAGTGAATGAGAATTAACCTATTCAGGCCGATGTAATTTCCTATTTATCGTCAGTCCGAAAAATAGCTTACACATCAGCTAATTAATAAATGATTGTACAGCGTTAAAAAAAGACAAACATTCTTCAGAAATGACAGATCTATACAGGATATTCCCGACCTATGGGATCACTTCTCGTGAGCAGGTAGAGCGAACTGAGTTAAAAAATATTTTACCATTTTCGCAATATTTTAGGAGATATTAATTTCTAAAGATCACTAAATATCTGTGCGGATTACTTCTAATTGTAAGTATTCATCACACACAGTTGCGGTCGCACGGGATTGCCTATTATATGTGTCGTGAAAAATGTCAGTGGTATTATCATTCAGAGCAATAGTAAAATCATTTGAACTAATGATAAAATTATACAGATTTAACGGCATTATCGAATGATATTATTATTACTTGAGGCATTTAATAAGAAAATCCTTCGGTCAGTGGTAAAATATTTTATCATTGAATGTAATCCAATAGGAATATTATTCGATCAGTATAACATTAGATTATTGTTAATAGAAATATCATTGTATTCGCGTGTAGGTGCTTACTGGGATCGGATGTTTGAGTTTCGTTCTCGTCGAGTGTCACGTGGGTGTTCGATTTGTCGGGATTGTTATTGCTGGCTCTCGTGGCCGGTCTAGAAAAGGCTTTTATAAAACGCGTGGATCCACTTAACTTTTTCTTTTTCCGAGCAGTCTTCATGCGTATAGCTGAGGCCGAGCCTTCGGGGGGAGGGGAGGGGGGGGTGCGGTTGGACGGTTCGGTCGACAACAGTGATGGCCGACTGTTTTTCTCTGTCCTCTCATTCTTTTTCAGGCACCTTCGGTGCCTTCTAATTTTGCGAATGGACAGGTCTTATCGACAAATTTAGATTCCAATATTGTCGGCGCCGCACTTTTCAATTTAATGGCGGAAACTTCGTCTGAACGCGCAGCTAACACCACATGGCTCATAAGTGAAAGCAGCAGCATATCCCTTCCCATGGAAATGGATCAAGAATTTACTCAAGTTTCCAGGAAGAAAGGCATGCAGTAAAAAGACTCGCATAAAGTTAAAATGAAAGCTGTAGAGATACCCACTCAACTTAGTGACGCCGTTATGTGCCTTCCCGCCATTTCTGATAACGCGGATCTGTCAGGCTTCAGCCTGTCAGTTTCAGCCCAAACAGGTTGTACTACGCAGGTCTAATTATCTTCCGACACGGATAAATCGCCTTACGCTGTTTATGTATATTCGAATAAATCTTCCATTTTTGTTTTTTATCTAAAATAGTATCCGAGATAGCTAACGCGGATATTTTATTCATCAAGCGACTAGGTAGTGACAAGGCTATAGTAGAGATTAGGTCGGCGGAAGCCATTAACTGCTTAATTATCAACACCGTTTTTGAAAAATACAAGATCAGGGTTTTCATTCCATCATATCGTAATTCTTGCAGATTAACTGCAGCTGAGGTAATTTACTTCTAGCCCTGCAACAATTCCATTAAAGGATGCTGAATGAGTGAGGAACTCTTCTATTAATGAATTTTAGTGTTAGTTTCTGAAGTTGCAGTGAAATTAAAAGAGTTGTTAAGCCCAATGCCGACGAATAAGTTAATGAAGAAATCAAGATTGAGATTAAAATTTCTGATAAAGTTTGTTAACCTTGATAGTATTATTGAATGGGGTTAATGAATGCTGATAGCTGCTGATTGTTGAACAGATTCTTGAAGCTGGATAAGAGTGTTAATATCTGATCAAAAATTGACAGAGTAAGAGTTCTCATTCCTTGGAAGGGCAGAATTTTGTCCTCCATAAGGGTGAATCATTGGGTTCACAAAAAATTTCATTATGTTGTTGCATGATGGAGGTGTTAATTTTGGAAAGTGATGAGTGTCTGCCGTTGCGATGTCCTTGTGACATCTCCAGATGAGCACTACCTACTGGAAGAGATTCTATATGATCCTCAGCTTACGGAGGAAACATGCATTTGCTGCTTCCGCATAACTCGGGTAATATGTATCCTAATATCCCCAAGATCTTCAGAATTCAGATCATTAGAGAATCTATTGAAAGTGGTTATGTCGCGGTGATCTCTGTAAGACGACTGCTGAGAATTATTAGAGATATAAGGAAAATTACGAGGATTCATAGAGATAGAGGAACTAGTTGAGTTAATGTTTGCAGCAATTATTCTTATTGCCTCGACGTGAGATTCTCGTATGTAACAAGGTTAATGACATCCTTGTATTTCTGAATGACAGTCAAACGAAATTCTCTAGGTGCTCTCATCGCAGTTGATGCACTTTGTAAGTAATAATCTGTGCTCGCAATCAACAGACTTGTTATGTGTTCCTGACGCAGTAAAAGCAGTCTCAGTTTTGAGCTTTTATTATATGTCCTTTCCTATATGTCCCACTCTGTAGCACACGTAACATATCCTGATCTTGGACACAACGGCGGTTCAACGCGTACTTAGCGTTAAATAAAGTGATATCTCTAGACAATGTCCTGTAAACTTGATATAAAGAGCTCTTGAAGGAATATAAATCGTTTCATTTATAATCATCGTCGGTTCAATCTTTGAACCTCTAAAATTTTAACTAGCGACCGACTACTGTTCTTGAGGCATTCTAAGGAGAGTGATTGGTCTATACTCTTGCCCGTTCTGACATTATTTGGATTCAAGAAATGC